CCTCCTCCCCGCACTCCTCCTCGTCCCCCTCCTGAGCATCCTCATTATCCATTGTCCTTTGTGCGCATTCTTGATGCTGGTTTGAACAGGAGGCCTCCTGTGAAGTGCTAAGGAGGCCTCTTGGCGCGATACTTTGTTGCGTGCACGCCCTAGAGGTATATATGTTCCCAAGTGCGCTCAGACGGCAATCTCTTCCCAAGCAGTCCAAGCGTATTCTTTGTCACATCGCAGCCTTTTCCCGTTCGAGTTGCCAGCGGCCTCTTGAGCGTTCAACCTAATGTTGAAAGGAAAAAAGCGGAGGCCAGCAGATGCTGACTTGGATGGTGACCCTGCGAAATGCATTGGCCATGACGTGCGAGATATGTATGCTGAGAATATGCTCCCCGCATACAGAGTCGGCAGATTATCGCATAATTTAGGCAGATGCTGTGTAAATGGCTTCAAGGCGAAGAAATTTCTTGGGAACTGGTCCCGAGATATGAGGAGGAGTTATCTTAAAAATTCGAAGTGGCCGTCTCTGTATTCTGCGACCGTACCCACTTGGAACGCCACCCGCCAGAGGGTCGAGAACAAACCGCTGCATTTTCTTCTTCCGCATGAAATTTTCGCTACGCTGCACGATTTCGGTAGCGAGGCGGCCTTGTACAGCAAGGATGGGAGAGGGAGATGGATGTAGGGACGAGACCAATACGGGGGCAGCTGAGGAGGAAGATGGATGCCCTCTTTGCGCAGCTTGGCTCTGAGCGACGGAGTGACGGTCCAGTCCAGCAAAAAGAAAGAATCACTCGAAGTTGGTGTGTTGATCATTTCATGATTGTCGGCGCTTTCTCAGTTTTGCGGTGCCCAATTACGTGCATGAAAAAAAGCTGCTTTGCAAAAGGAACTTGGGACGCCATTATGGAAGTTGTGCGCTGGAGTTTTGAAGTCCTCGCTTCCGGCCGATGGCCAGACAAGCGACACGACGGGCAGCCGTTCGGAAAGACAGAGAAACGCCAAACAAATGCTACATCTGGGCGGCGCTTACCAAAAGCATGTTTATCGCAGGTCCGCGGAGATTGGAAGAGTTTCAAGGAAACGTTATGTTTTCCTGGCTGGGGCCAAGCTGCTGATTCACCTATATGTTGGATGTGTGATTGCCGTTATTCCGAGGTTCAGGGTGTGGAAAAAAACTTTCCCACTACACAAATGCCACAGCCAGTTGATAACAATGACACACGTGGGAAGGAGGAGGCGGAGGATGAGGAGGATCAGGGGGGGGGAGGAGAGGGGGGAGGAATTCGAGGAGGAAGAGGAAGGGGGGGAGGGAGGAGGAGGGAAGAGGAGGAGGAGGAGGAGGAGCAGGAGGAAGAGGGAGGAGGAGGAGGAGGAGGAGGCGGAGGAGGAAGAGGAAGGGGCGGAGGAGGAAGAGGAGGAGGACAAGGAGGGATGTTTTTTGCGTTTTGCTGTCCGCCTACAGGTGAAGGATGCGGGAAACTCGGCGAGGTGGCGCTCGACTCGTCGGACTTTCTCGAGTTTGATTGGAGCAATTCTTTCGGCTGGAAACACCGCGTCGCCCTTGCTTTCTTGCCCGTGCGTCCGGTCGCCCAACATTTTCAAAGTAGACTGGCTACACGCCATCGATATGGGAGCGGCGGCAGACTTCGGGGGACAAGCCTTGCAGTACATGTTGGTGAAAGGCAAAGCACCAGGCTCAAATAGAAAAGAGCAGGTGCGCCGATTGAACGACAAACTTCAAAAATGGTATGATCAACATGACATTTCAGATCGCCTGCACGTTCTGTCTGAGACTGTCATCAAGCGAACGTCCTCCACTTGGGCAAAAATGAAATGCATGGCTGCGCCGATGCGCCGCATGGTTCCATGGATTCTCGAAGTTTCGCGCGAATATTTAGACCCTGCAGATGCCATCGACAACACAATTTTGAAAGCGGCCGAGCATTTGGATGCATGCTACGCAGCAATGCATCATTGGCATGATGGCAGCGGTGCTGTTTTACGCGAGAGTTCGATGAAATTCGCCCTGCTGTATGGAGGCCTCGAAGATAGGATGGAAGATATTTTCCGGATTAAACCCAAGCTCCATTTGATGCTTGAGGTGTGTCGCGGCGACCAGCGCCCAGACACATGTTGGACATACCGGGATGTAGATTGGGGAGGGGTCGCGTCAAGGATTGCAACCTCCCGTGGCGCGCCCGCCAACGTCTCTGTCGTTTCATATAGCACATTGAGCCGCTTCCGTATGGAAGCAGTGATGTGTGTGCAATGAAAAACAAAAAAAAAAAAAAGGAGGCCTCTTCAACTAGAGCGGCCTCCTGCAATTTCTTCTGCTGCGGTCGCAGCGTAATTTCGATGTATGCGCCCGCAGTTGCGGATAAGAGTGAGGGGCGCCCGCACTTGCGGGGCGGGCGGGTGGCTTGGTGTCGAGATCTTCTGCGTTTCGAACATATTCGTGAGGCCAACGAAACTCTTGAAATCAGGCGTCTCGATTTGGAAATCGAGACACCCCTAAAAATGTGGACCAAGAAAACGAGACACCCCCCCACCCACCCCTCCTCCCCGACACAAGGGGCGTCTCAAAATCTAGACGCCGTCAGAAAAACGACCAGGTTTTCGAGACACTCCCCACGCCATGATGTCGATTACGACGATGTTAACGACAATACATGTGTACACGGGTCGTGCACACAACTATGTACATACATACATGCATACATATATAGGCACATATAAATATCTAAGCCAACATGTATATGCGGATGCATATGCATTCTTGTGTATATGATCACCGATGTAAACTGTTGTCCTGATGCAGGTTATATCACGTATACATACATGCGTATCCGCACAGCGCAGCATACGCATATACATACACGCATACATCACGGATGAACACACCAAACAATCATGGGCACCAACGGCCCCCCTAACAACACTAGAGGCGCGGTGGGTCGCGGGGTGGGTCGCGGGTGGTCGCGGTGTGGGTCGCGGGGTGGGTCGGGGATGGGTCGCGGGGTGGATCGTGGGTCGGTCGCGGGTGGGTCGCGGGTGGGTCGCGGGGTGGGTCGCGGGTTGGGTCGCGGGTCGGTCGCGGGGTGGGTCGCGGGTCGGTCTGGGGGGGGGGGACGACGACAAACAACAAGCAACAAGCAACAAGCAACCACAACAACAACAACAACAACAGCAGCACCAGCAACAACAACAACAACAAACACAACAGCAACAACAACAACAAGAAGAACAACAATCCGCACCACGGAACTCCACTTCAACCACGCACCCTGGGACAGTGAATGACCGTTCGACCCCCTCGTTCTGATAAGCTTCGTCCAGGGACATATGTTTGTTTAGGGGCGTTGTGCCTGCGAACAAGTATACCCGTCCGGGGACAAATCCTCTGGACCGATGAACACATGTTTGTCTGTGGACAAGCTTTGGAACCTCATGGTTCCGGCTTCCGGCTTCCGGCTTCCGGCTTCCAACCTCCGGCTTCCGGCTTCCGGCTTCCGGGTTCCGGGTTCCGGCTTCCGGATTGGACCTCTCTGGCCGAGCCCTCCGGATCACCTCTCCCTCCTGCTCTCCCTCCTCCTTCTCGTCACCCGCCTTTTCCTTCTCCTCCACTCTTTTTCCTCAAGTTGCAACAGTCACGTTTATCTGCTGGGTTGAAGTCCCAGTAATGGTGTTCTTGGCACGGTTCAGAACCGTCGCGTTGCAAGAGTCAAATTGATTCGTGGCGTTGGGGTCCCGAGAATGGGTTCTGGGCGCGTTGCAGGATCTTCAGACGGTTGTTTCCCAACGTGTCAGTGGACATGGATTTTTGCAGGGACCTATGAAGAGGGAGCTTGGAGGGAGAGTGTATCCCAACATCGTTGATGAATCTTGGGTTTGCACTGGTCCTCCTCCTCCTCCTCCTCTTCCTCCTCCTCCTCCTCCTCCTCCTCTTCCTCTTCCTTTATTTTCCTTATGAATCATTCCTCCGTGTCGCACCCGGAGGCCAGTCGGAAGGGCGGGCTGGGCGCTTCGCTATCGAATTCCTATATATCAGCCTGGAGCTGAACGAACAATTGGCGAAAACTTCACCGATGGAGGTCGGGCCGCTTCCGAAGTGCGCCGCGAACATTCGTTTTCATAATTTCCAAGAACTTCACGGATTGAGGGCGGGTCGTTTTCAAAATGCGGTTCTCGCCTTAGCGCCGCGCGCACTCGTCTCCAAAATTTTAAGAATTTCACGAATTAAGGGCGGGGCATTTTCAACAGATGGCTCTCGCCTTAGCGCCGCTCGCATTCGTTATTACCACATGCAACGTGCAAGGGTTTCGCGGATTGGCGGCGGTCCTTCTCAACATGTATTTTTCGCTAGGCGCCGCTCACATTCAATTTCAACACATCGCAACATATTCAATAATTCTCACAACTAACGTACCATACGTAGTGTGTTGGAACGACTCATGATTATCAGGGTGCAACAGTTGCGTTCATTCGCGGTGTTGAAGTCCCAGGAATGATGTTCTGACGCGCTTCAGGATCTTCAATACGCAACAGTCAGGTTGATTCGTGGCGTTGAAATCATGAAAACAATGTTTTGGCACGCTCCAGGATTTTCACACGGTTGTCCCCCAACGGGGCACTTCCTTCAGTAGAAATGAGTTTTGTAGGGGTTTATGCAGAGGGAGCCTGGAGGGAAGGTTGATTCCAACATCGTTGATGAGTCTTGGATTTGCACTGGTCCTCCTCCTCCTCCTCCCCTTCCTTCTCCATGTCCTTTTTATTCACCACCACCTCCTTCTCCTCCTCTTCTTGCTCCTCCTCCTCCTCCTCCGCCTCCTCCTCCCGGATCTGTCCAGTGCTGCGTTCTGACCAGAATTTCGAGGAGGATGCAGCCGTAGCGACGAGGAGCTTCCCGGAGGCCCAAAAAGTGCGAAAAGCGTCCACTAACCTCGATCTTCGAACCTCGATTTTCGAACCTCGGTCGATCCTCGAATTTGGGACCCCCCCGCCCGCAGGAGGGCAAGAGCATCGTGCAGACGATCCTCGAGACGGCGGGCGTTTCGCCCTCGCAGCCGCCAAAACATATCCACGCCCGCCTCCTGTGGGGTCGTGTTTCCCGGGGTCCCGCAAGGAAGCCTCGAGTCGACTGCACGCAACAGTGACCCTTCGCCGGAGAGACCTTCTGGTGCCTTTTTGGCGGTTCTTGGAGGTTTTCCTGCCTCGGGATGCGTTCCAGCAGCTGCGCCTCGCCAGAAGCGTTCTGGGGGTCTCCGAACCACCCCGAGCGGCCGCAGGAGACCAGAGCCATGACCCGAAAGCTGAGCGACCCTTCGCCAGGGTAGCCTCCTGGAGCGCGGCAGCGGAGGGGGCGCGAGGGGGGGCGACGCCAGGGCCGCCCACGATCCCGGTTCGATGCGAGTCGATTCGCCAGCTGGGGCCGCGATGCCGACTCGATTCGATTCGGTTCGGCTCGCCAGCAGCGGCCGGCGGGGCAGCTGGGCGCGACGGTCCCATACCGATTCGATTCGGGACGATTTGCTGGCGATCCGAGCCGTTTCCGATCTGATCCGATTTCGCGACTCGATCCAGCGCAGGCCTGGACACCCAAGCATGCAAGCCCTATAGGGCACCCCCAGGGGCGCGAACATAGTCGCGCTTCGCGCATCGCGGTCCGGGTCAGACGGGTGGAGGGAGGGAGGCAGGGAGGGAGGGAGTACTTTTGTAGGGGGGGGGGGGGGGGGGGGAAAGGGAGGGACGGGGGCGAGGGAGGAAGGGAGGAGGAGGAGGAGGAGGAGGTAGGAGGAAGGAGGAGGAGGAGAGGAGAGGAGGAGGAGGAGGGGAGCGCCCGTCGCCAAGGGGGCGGCGCCTTCGAGCGAGAGAGCGCGAAGAGTTAGCTGCGCGTCGCACGTCGCGTGGCGCGCGGCGCGCAGGCGCGCGCAGGGTGATCGATAGGATCGGCAGGCCGCGCACCGGGGGCCGCTCTTGCGGCCCAGGGGTGTCGCTCCTGCGCGTGGCGGACGGCTACTACTATTACTACTACTACTACTACTACTACTACTACTACTACTACTACTACTACGACGACGACGACGACGACGACGACGACGACGACGACGCGACGACGACGGACGACGACGACGACGACGACGACGACGACGACGACGACGACGACGACGACGACGACGACGGGCGCGGTGGCGGCGGCGGCGGGCGGCGGCGGCGACCGACGACGGACGACGCGACGGACGACGACGACGACGGCCGACGGACGACGACGACGACGACGACGACGACGACGGCGACGACGACGACTCCCCCCCCCCCCGAACGCACGACGACGACGACGACGACGACGCGACGACGACGACGATACGACGGCGCGGGCGGCGCGGCGGCGACGACGACGTGACCCTACCCCCCCGACGACGACGACGAGACGACGACGACGACGACGACGGACGCGAGACTAAGACTACTTACTACGACTAACTACTGACTACTACTACTACTACTATTACTACTTAATTACTACTGCGACTACCTACTACTTAATACTATAACTACTACTACTGACTACTACTACTACTTACAGCTACTACGACGACGACTATACTACTACTTACTACGGCTAACTACTATTACACTTACTACTACGACTTACTGTCTACAATTTGAACTTACCACCACTTACTACTACTACTACTACTAGGGGTGCTGGTGGGCCTGGGGGTCTCGGTCCGCCCCGCGGGGGCCCCGCGAGGAGCAGTGTCGTCGTCGTCGTCGTCGTCGTCGTCGTCGTCGTCGTCGTCGTCGTCGTCGTCGTCGTCGTCCGTGTCGTCGTCGTCGTCGCCGCCGCCGCCGCCGCCGCCGTCGTCGACCCTGTCTCGCCCGAAGCCTCCATCGCTCAACAGCTCAGGGGCGGAAAGGGCATCGCTGCCGCTGCGCTTTCTTCGCCTTCGCCTTCTGTTGGGCCTCCTGGGAGGCCCTCGTCGCCACGGCTGGGTTCGCCTCAAAACTCTGTTCTCAGAAAGACAGTTTTCGGGTTGGGAGTATGGGTTTGGGAGACATGATCCGATCATCAAGATTGTCGCGTCTGTTGAAAGTGCTTATTGCACAGTTGTGCCCTGCATTTTCCCAACCCCTTCCTCCCAACACGATACCTGTTTTCCTCATGGTCGGCACGCACCCTGGGAGACAGGGAGTACGGTGGGTCGATTAGCGTCGGCCCCGCTGCCAGCGTTCCACCACGTCCGTCGCGGGCGACCCAAAATTGGTCGATGCTGGACGATCCGACGTTTCGGAAGCGGCCGATCGTTCAAGGTTGAACGAGCCCCGCGGAAACCAACGCCGAAGTCGGCACGGCACGAACTTGCCGTAGCCGTATCGGTATCTTTATGTTGCCCCACCAGTGGCCCAGGATGAGGATCTAGCAGCCGCGGGATCTCGAGGGACCCCTGCGGAGCGGTGGGCACGGAGGCGTGCTCGCCCCGCGAGGGCCTGGAAGCGTGGCCACTGCATTGGGGTAAGGTCCGCTGTGGTTTCGAGGGGGTT